GTCTCAGATTGCCTCCTTTGCTCCTGGGAGGAAAGTGAGTTTCAATGATCACTTCCTGTACGCTACGTTTCCTCCCATCACTCAAACACTTTGCAGCGTTTAGAAATGAGAGGGACACTTTCTTTCCCTGGAGTCCTTTGTCCCTGGAGTCACTTCTCTGCACTCATGTACAAAAATAAAATAAAAAGGAACATGCAGGTAACATGTCATTTAGACCTCTATTGTTCACGGGGAGTCTGGAATATCAGGTGCTTTTATCCAGGTTTTTGAAATCATTTTGCAGTAAATTGACTATAACTTGTGGCTCCAGAGTGCTAACGGTTAGCATTGAGCTTCCTCTGTCATATATTTTCATTAATAATAGTTCAACTTCATTTGATAATTTCCTCGTTAAAGGAGAATAAATTAAAGTATATAATACCTTCATTTCCATCCACTTATCTGAATAATTAGCTTTATTAATTGCATGGGATTTAAACGTGTATTTGCTTTTCACACTTCACGTCACTTTTGTCTGTATTTTTCCGTTTCTGAAGGAAATTGGTCTATTTTACAATATATTCAAATATTACACAGTCAAGTGCAGGTAATTAATTACAACGTGTAAAACTCTGCAGTGCAGATGAATTAGGAGCCAGACTTGTAATGCAAACACATTTCCCAGCAGATCCTCAGTTCCTCTCTGAGTTAGAGGACACATAATCAATCAATCAATCAATCAATCAATCAATCAATTTGTATTTATATAGCCCAATATCACAAATGTTACATTTGTCTCAGTGGACTTCACAGTTTGTACAGAATATCAGTATGACAATACGACACCCTCTGTCCTTAGACCCTCTGTCCTCAGACCCTCTGTCCTTAGACCCTCTGTCCTTAGACCCTCACATCGTACAAGGAAACACTTCCAGAGAAACCCCACAGTTTAAAGGGGAACATGGGAGAAACCTCAGGGAGAGCAACAGAGGAGGGATCCCTCTCCCAGGACGGACAGACNTTGAGTTCAGGACCCTTGCAGCAGATAGTGGCTGGAATTCTTCAGCACTGCTCGACGCCTTTTTGTCTGGTCTTTCTTTTCACTCTGGTGAGCCGACTGTCATCTGGATTCCCTCCTCGTACATTGACACAGGTACCAGTAAAAGTAGACAGACATGTTTTAACTCAGGGGGTTCTCAAAGACTCTGGTGCAGATGAAAGTTTAATGGATTGGGGTTGGCCAAGAAGTGGAACTGTGTGGTAATTCCTTTGAAGCAACCGTTAAAGGCCTCTGGTCTGGATGGTCGGTTATTGTTTACCGTTACCCATTGTACTATGCCCATTGAAATAACTGTAAATGCAACACATACTGAACACATGACTTTCCATTTATTTGACTCTGCTCAGCATCCACTTATTCTTGGTTACCCATGGTTAGTCAAGCACAACCCACACATAGACTGGAGATCTGGGAGAGTTAAGGGATGGGGAGAGGACTGCAAGCATTTCTGTTTGAGAGACAATAAGACTGGTGACAACACTCCCCTATTTAGGGGCAATGGATGTCCACTCTCGGGAGACGACCGACAGTGGTGCGGTTAGCCAAAGTGACAGACCTAATGTTAGACCTATTTACAGGCAATGGACGTCCACTCTCGGGAGACGACCGACAGTGGTGCGGTTAGCCAAAGTGACAGACCTAATGTTAGACCTATTTACAGGCAATGGACGTCCACTCTCGGGAGAGAGACCTCCAGCATGTGTCCCTGAAATGGAGACTCTGTTTATTTCACTCATCCAGGACAGAGACCGGGGAAATCTCCTCTCTGTGGCCCCTCCAAGACCCACAAAGGACGGACTAAAGACCTCCAGCATGTGTCCCTGAAATGGGGACTCTGTTTATTTCACACTTCCAGGAGAGACGACGGGTAAATCCCCTCTCTTTGCCGGCTCACAGAGCCCTGAAGGACGGACTAGAGACCTCCCAGCATGTGTCCCTGACATGGGCACCTCCATAACCTTGCACACCGTGAGTCCCCGGACCTCCGGACTTAGCACTCCCCCGCCCCACGGGACTAAACCAGATGTTCCACACCTTCAGAACCTTCATGGCCCCCCTGGTAAACCCTAAAAGGGGGGTGGGATTTGCGGGTGCTTTACCGTCCGCCCATCGGCATCCATTATTCGGCCTGTTCTTTCACGCACCACCACCCTTCTTGGGAGGACTATTTTCTCAGCTCCTGGTAACCCTTTAATAGTCTGATACTATCAGGGGCTCATCACGCACTTTACAAGCCAGGAAATATGTTTAAATGGGTCGGGGAAGTGTTTTTAACGTCTATCTGGAATGCAGAGTTGCTACGGGGTAGTGAGCGTGGTGGAGTGAAGTATGTTATCGATCCTTGAGCTTCCGGGTGGTGCTTCAATTTGCCGATATCATTTAACACATGATAGACATTCTCCTGGAAAGCATGCAGGAAGTTATGTCCATTTCCAGGAGAGGGCCATGTTAAGGCGATGACATCCTGCAAAAATGACAGGGGCTAAAACACCCCAGGGATACGTGTTCTTGAAAGGCGGCGAAAGTTGTTTAAAATAGGTCGAAGTGTTTTTAAACGTCTGGAAGAGTAGTTTTGTAAGTCTTCATTTTGCCACGATATCATTTAACAATTTGAACATCTCCTGAAATGCCACAGCGATTAATGTCCAGTTTCCATAGTGAACCGTGGACGGAGGGAGAGCGTGGGCGATTCTGATGGGTGGGTCAATTGTAAAATGATTTATCTGCAAAATGACAGGCTAAACACCCAGGGATACGTGTTTGAAAGGGCGGGGAAAAGTTGTTAAATAGTGGAAAGAAAAAGTGTTTGTGAAAGCCGTTGAGAGGAGAGTGGTGTGTGTTTGCGGCACTTTGACTTATTTTTAAACACTTCCCGCTTTTCACACACGTATCCTGGGATGGGGTTGTTTTTGGACCACCTATCATTTAACATTTGGTAGACTAATTTTGGTCTCCTTTGGAAAATGCTCCACATTTAACATTGCCTCCTGGAAATGGCATAATCTGTGCATTTCCAGGAACGTTCAATGTTAAATGATTATCGTTGCAAAAATGGACAGACCTTAAACTCTCTTCCGACGTTAAAACACTTTCCGACTATTTTAAACACTTTCCCCGCCTTTTCAAACGTTTCCCTGGGTGTTTAGCTGTATTTGCCATATACTTTAAAACATTGGACCCTTCCTGGAAAATGGACAATTCTGGTGCATTTTCCAGGGAGATGTTAATTGTTTAATGATTACGTGCAAATTGAAGGACACAACTCTTCTTCCAGAGTTAAAACCACTTTCCCGCCCATTTTAAAATATTTTTCTTGTGTTAAAGTGCAGTGATGAGCCCTTGGTGTATTCAGACTATTTAAGTGTTTACCGGACATGAGATTCCTCAGAAGGGGTGGTGCTTCATGAAGAGGCCGAATTGGATGCCATGTGCCGGACGGTAAAGCACCGCATCCAAAAAACCCCCCCCCCCCCCCCCTTTTTAGGGTTACCAGGGCATTGAGGGTTTGTAAAAGGTTGTGAAAAACATTGGGTTGTTCCGGTGGTGAACGTGCTTTAAGTCGGGAAGTCCGGGACCCACGTGTGCAAGGTTATGAGGTGCCATTTGTCCAGGGGACCACATGCTTGTAGTCTTCGTCCCTTAGGGCCTCTTGTGAGCGGCAAAAGAGCGGGGATTTACCGTCTTCTTCTCCTGGAAGTGTAAATAAACAAGATCCCATTTCAGGGAAACAAAAAGTGGGTCTTTAGTCCGCTCCTTTGGGGGTGTCGGAGGGGCCCACGAGGGAGATTTTCCCGGTCTCTTCCTGGATAGTGAAATAAAACGATTCTTTTCCATTTCCATAGGGGCCATGCTGGAGGTCTCTCCCCGAGAGTGACGGGTTCCATTGCCCCTTAAAATAGGTCTAACAAATTTAGTCCTGTCACTTTGGTACCGCACCCCACTTTCGTGGTTTTCTTCCCGAGTAAGTGGGCGTCATTGCTGTTTAATGGTTACATTAGGTCTTCCCCCTTTGGCTAACCGCCACTGTCGGTTCATTCCCGAGAGTGACGTTCATTGCTGAAATAGTCCTAACTTAGGGTTCTGTCATTTGGCTAACGCCACCAGTCGGTCGGTCCTTCCCCGGAGAGTGGATCCATTGCCCTAAATAGGGGTCCTATGTCCACTTGGTAACGCACCACTGGTGGGTCGTTTCCCCCCGAGATGACAAAAATCCATGGCCCTAATAGGGGGATGCCCCCGTTGGTTGGAGCCCCGGTGCTTCGGTGCTACTAGTACGCCCGAGACTACATGTTCGCGATCAAGACATCGCCCCCGGGCGCGAGTGGAACGACGCGGAATGGATCGAAGTCCTTTCTGGTAGCATGGAGCCCCAGGGTACTCTCCCCCAGTGTACTCTCTTCCCCGAGGCGGATATGCGA